AACATGATCAGGGGGTCTTAAAACGTGTATTTACGTGAAAATTTTTCATTCATTATTGTTAGGAATGGTTGCGATAATTACAGCGAGGTGTCGCAAGCGTACTGGACAAGCGACGAGAGCGACAGCGCGTGCCAATTATACGAAGAACAATTATTATAGAGAGAATTCTTGAATAAGCAGCACGTATAATAAATAGATAGCCGTAGAGAATAATTGAATGTCCGAAAAATCGTGAGATTTTAATTGTGTCGAGAACAAACAGTGATAATGTATAATTCGTGTAAGTCTGTGTGAATAAATATTAGTATATAAAACAATAAACAATCTCAAGCATTGCCACATTTATTGTACCGGCACATACGCCTTAAAAATGTCACAACATTATATAGAGGACAACATGCTGCAACAGGAGATGTTGCAATTGAAATCGAGCGTCCTGCGCAAGAAAATAATTTGCCTGAAAATGCAGCTCCATTTGACTTCCAGAAGTACGGAATTCACATTAATTACTTACAATTAATTAATGCGTATGCGAATCCGATCTCGGCATAGGAATGCTACAAAATACTTCGTTTATATATTAATTCATCAAGAAAAAACTGGATTGGAAGCAATAATTGGGCACTACTGTTCCTGTAAAGTTGGTTCTCGAGTCGTAGGCTGCTGTTCGCACGTGGCTACGATAATTTGGTACGAACATATTAAGCGCATTGATACAAATGCGGATTTAGAAGATGCGTACGACGAATTCATCGACGAAAAGAACATCAGTAACGACGACGCAGAGGTTAATTCTGACATTGATTTAAATATTTAAGTGGCGGTAAGAGATATTTTATTGGGATTTTATTACTTCAATCGTCTCAAATTCTTTTCCATCAAAATCAAGATAATTTTTATACCTTTGTAGCGACCGGTCGAGTCTTCCCCCCTCGAGAGTTCCCCCCACTCCGTGCATACTGCGCCGGAGCAGCGTATCCGTGAGCTCGAGGTGGGGGAGGTTCTCGAGGGAAGCCGTCCCGAATCTGGCATCACTGCCGGAGAAACAAAGAAAAAGTGGTGAAATTTCTCTCGACGAATCCATTCCGTCTTTATCTGAACTGGAAGGGGGTCCAGTCTCCCTTCTGGTTCTACCGGAAGGGGAATCGGAAGGGGAACGGGGTGTTTTTTTTCCCCCTGCTTCAACAGCACCATCCATGCCGCGGCCACGGAAGAAGCGTAGGACAAGTTGGGAAATTTCTCTCGACGAGTCCATTCCAATATTATCTGAAATTACAATGGTCGATATACCGATAGAACTAGAAGGTAAAGTGGAATACTTTTCGGTTCCCCTTGCGGTAGAATCAGAATGGAAACCGTATGTGGAACTAGGTGTTTACACCCCTTCCCCAACACCAGAATCCACGCCGTGCTTACGGAAGAAGCGGAGAAAGAGTTGGGAAATTCCTCTGAACGAATCCATTGCTCGTTTATCGCAAATTAGAACTAGCAAAAGACCGCGAAAACACGTCAATTATTTTGAAACTAAAATAAAAAAAAGGCCGTGCATAAAAAAGCAGTGCAGCAACAGCCAGGGTGGCACTGAATGCCCGTAACAATCAAAAAAGGGGGTGTGGCAAATTCTGCCTGGGTGAAAACTGTTTGTAGAAATATTAAGTTTTATTTCAAACAACGGGGAATCTTGCACTAAGGTCGCAACGTCGTCCCCCTCGATCACCACGCCGTTTCGAAAACAAGCACGCCGAGGGCGTAAGAAATACGCGGTGATTTGGGAAAAATAAACGGCCCTGATTGGAAAGGCCCAACGCGTGGGGTTAACCAATCAGGGTTGTTTAACAATTTTGCCAGAGCCAACGAGGGTGACTCGAAAGCGAAGACCAAAGGAGATCTATCTGAGCCTTGACTCGCATAACTTGTCTTCAGCCTAAAGAGAATAAATAAGTCATAGTTACCTATCACCCTTGTGTCAGTTATTATACTTATCTACCCAACACTATTCTTATTCTTGTTATATTTTTCTATTAATTTTCCCAATTAGTTTATTCATTTTGTTAATCTTGTAATAAACGGTCGACCAGATAGAAGTCGACGAAAAGAAAATCATTTGAACCCAATTCACTTCCCCGATAAACTCCTTTTCCTCTATCCGGACTTCGTGGTTAAAAGCATCAGCTTTTTAACAACGATCATATACAATCCAATAGATAGAGGAGCTAGCGAAGAGCTAGTGACACATATAGTAGAAGCCGGAGGTCTAATTAGTTGGTTTAGGAATTTAGAACAGCCTATAATTAATGAGATGGTTGTTAATGAGAGACCGGCAGCACAACAGTCCCCATGTTGAGTTTCACAAGGCGGAGAAGAATGTGTGACAATACGATTACAGTCAGAATGGTGCGCGGAGAACCAGAAACGTTGAGAAAAGCTGGGGGCACTTGATGATTCGTTGCAACTCAACAAGAGTTGTCGAATATGTGAGAAGTGTAAACGTTGTTCTGTGGCGACTAGGTGTTCAGGTCATTACATATTACGGCGAGTTAAACATGTTTTGTGAAGAAAGCATAGCAGATCTTAAACAGATCTTCGTGGGCTGTGAAGATGTGGACAGAATAACTACCGACTATGGGACGCAAACAAGAGACAAATAGTCGTGTCAAGAGATGTGATGTTCGACAGAGATTCTATGACTGACGAGAAAACGAATAAAATAAAAATTAGTGAAATCCTAGGACAAGATGAAGATGACGCAGAAGAAAAAAACACTGAGGAGGAAAAGGGTGAAGAACAGGAAGAAGAGGAAGATTATGAAGATTCGTTAGCGGAAAATAGTGACACAAAGGAAGAAGATGAGCCAAGAGTTGAAGAAATTTCAGGAAGGCCAAGGAGGAATAGAAAACCGTCAGAAAGATACGGGTATTGTGGCTTACTGACCTATGCAGAAGTCATAAATAGTGAAAAGAAAGATGAGTGGATAAAAGCAATACAAGAAGAGAAAAGGTCATTACTTGAAAATAAAACTTGCATTATGGTGTACAAACATGAAGCAAATGGAAAGAAGATTTTGACGAGCAACTGGGTCTTTACATTTAAAGAAGATGGTCGCTATAAGGCTCGACTGGTAGTGAGAGGATGTGAGCAACGAATAGAAAGTTTTGATTATAGTAGCATTTATAGTCAGATAGTAAATAATAGTTCCTTAAGAATTTTAATAGCATTAGCAGTTTCGAGAGATTATCACATTGTTAAATTTTATGTAAAAACTGCATTTCTTCACGGAGACCTTCAAAAAGTCATTTACATGTATTTACCTGAAGGGTATAAGAGAAAGGCTGATAAAATTTGCAAACTGAGGAAACCGCTGTATGGCCTGAAACAAGCGCCAGCACAGTGGAACAAGAGATTTACAGAAGAATTAGTGTTTAAATATCGATTAAAACGCGATAATTAATTGAAATCCGAAATAATTCGTTACCCGGTTTGTTTTCGGTTACGCGACCGACCAGGAAGATTCTAGGTCGACGCGACCGCTATTCGAAACATTAGAGGACAGAAAAACACGGTTCTCGAGGTTTTCTGTAAAGTCACGCGAACGATAAAGTAACGTTCGAGTTCGAACAAGCCAAGTTCAACGCCCAGGCATAGAGAAGGTACGACAATCAGAAATTAAACAAAGACGGACGAGAGACGCCACGCAGCGCCACGCGACGAAGGATTCCCCCTCTCACGCGCACACTTTTGGCAGCTCATGTTCGTCCGTCACTTGCTATCGAGCCACTGAAAGGAGCATATCGATAAGCGAGCACGATATCGAGAAGTTTTTAAAAATCTCCGAATCGGTCGAGTTATTCGACCCTTCGTTGAGAAGCTTCTCCAACAATTAGCCTGCTTTGTCGCGAGTTCCTAGATCCACGATCTAGCTCAGTGCGACAAAACGTAATAATAAAATTAAAGCGTCGAGTTATTCGAGCTTCCAAGGGCTAGACGGCTCCACAGGTCAGGGCTTACTGAAAATCCCCTGGGTGGACCCACCGTCTCCCCACGGATCGAGTCATAAACTCGATCATTACTGGTTTTTCGAACGGTTACGAACCCACAGACCAAGGGTAGAAATAAAATACCCTTGAGTGGATTCGCCGTCTTCTAGCCGAAGCGCGGGACACCTAGGATCTCCCAGCTTACGGCAAAATTATCAGATCACGTCCCAAAATCGCTCGCCTGGTACGGCCGCAGTGCGTAGGACGTCGATTCTAAAAAGAACGTGGTATCCGGAGCAACTGTAAGTCGCCCAAGGGCGCCGTTGTCAAACCGGTACCGCACCGTGCCCGTACGCACATAACCAGACGGTGAAGGGCCGAGGATAAGGGCGACGGTTGGAATCTTACAACCTCCCTCTGTTCGCTCCTCCTACGACAACCAAGAGTAGCAGGCTTGAAAGATAGCGGAATTAGCATCTTGTCTAAAGAAACAATAAGCGAGCGATTCCCGATTTAAAGGGAACGCTCTCACACATACAGTCCACTAATATAGCCGCGTATCGCGGCGACTGAGATTCCCGCTCCTGGGTGCGACAAGCACAAACCAGGCGCGAGCGCGAAAGAGAAAGACATCCGACGTGAGTCACGTTGTCAGGTATTTAACGCCTATTCTTGTCTCTTTCTGTTACAGATCATCGAAGCTAGACAGACGGGAATCCGTCTAGACCGGCAGACACGGTTTTTGCGTACAAATTTTAGTACAAGTATCAAAATAAAAGGCTTAGTCGAGATCTTCGACTAAGCGAAAATAAACTGAAAATTTGTATTCTTTTCCCGACGTTCCTTCCCTCGAGATCCGGACCACCGTTAGGCGAGGTTTTTTTCAAACCTACTCCCCCTAACATAAGGTCCTTCGAGCCGGATCAAACGAGGTTGATTGGAACGGGAAAAGGTGACTGCCTTTGCACGTGACGAAATTACCACGTAAGAGTTGAATCGAGTTGATTGATCCTCGACAAACTCGCTATGGCGTTATCCGAGTCCATGTCGCGTTCCGACATTGAGGATCAGCTCATGGAGTTAACAGACGAGTTCGATCGTCTTAGATCCGTGAGCATAAATCTCAAAAAAATGGGCAGAGCTAAATTCACGGAGAAACTCCTCCAAGAAAAGCTCGAATACGCCGGGCGAACATGGCGGGATGTCCGCACCATGTATGCAAACGTGCGGAAGATGATTCCCGCCGCCAAAAGACAAGCCTATACGCTTTTTAAGCCAGGCTACCTCCTCGGCGTGGAAAACGAATTCCAGGAATTCCAGGATTTCGTAACCGCCGAGCTGACACGAATCGCTGCTGAATCGAGACCACCGGCACCGGAGGTCCAGCAATTCAGCATGCCCATTGAGCTGCCCAAGCAAAGATTGCCTAAATTCGGAGGGGATCCTCGGGAATGGGAACATTTCGAGGATCTATTTACCACCGGGGTGATGAACAATGTTCAGTTATCAGATGTACAGAAATTGTACCATCTGAACGCATGCTTGGAAGGACCAGCTCTCGCGACGATTTCGTCGCTCGAGATTGTCGGGCGCAACTTCCCCGAAGCGTGGAGAATGCTCAAGGAAAAATACGGGCTTCCACGCATGGTCACGGGAAGGTTGCTCGACAAACTATTTTCGCTGAAGCAGATTGAATTCAACGATCTAGCCAGCTTGCAGCAGGTCACTGTGGAATGCACAGAGACTCTAGCTGCATTAAGAAAAAGGGGCACGTCCGAACAGCTAGTAGAATGGATGCTAGCGTACTGGACGATACAACATTTCACTCCGAAATTGGAGCTGGAATGGCAGAGATCGCTCGGCCTCTCGACTAACTACCCGATGTTCGAGGATGTCCGAACTTTCATCGATCATCACGCACAAGCTCTGCTTTCGATGAAAGAGGACCGTCGAGAGGCAGCTCTAGCCCCGGAAACAAAGTCCCGCATGCCAAAGCCCATCGATGCTCGACCAAAAAGCGTCGCTTCGAAACCACTGACTAGCCATAACGTCGTGGTGACAACCGACTCGGCTCCGAAAGAAAACCGGCCGAGTGCGGAAAACGACGGGCGAGTCAGGCCAGAACGGGTGGAAGTGTGCGGATTCTGCTCTGGGCAACACAGCCTGCCACAATGCAACCATTTCATGGTGTTGTCGGCGAGCATGCGCACTCAGTACATTCGAAATCGACTATGGTGTGTACGCTGCCTAGCCAGCTCCCACCCTACTGAGCGTTGCCCAAGACCCCAAGTATGCAATCAGTGTAGTGGGAAGCACCATTCCCTACTGCACTGTAGTTACAATTGGGACCAGAAGAATGCGAGGCCGCCAGCACGAAATTCATTTGGCCGGCGTGACGAGAGCGGTTTTAACGCTCAACCACGGAAACCGACCAAGTCAAAGCCAAGAGGAAAAAGTACGGCTTCACACGCACAAGACAAACATGCCTCGACATCACACTGTACCGCGATCGGTACAGGCGCACCGAGGCCTGTTGTGCTAGCTACTGCACGAGTACGCGTGTTTGGCGAGAACGGTGTGTCGCGGATTGCGCGAGCACTGTTAGACCAAGGTTCGGAGACATCATTCGTCTCCGCGGGGCTGGCTAATGACCTCCAATTAAAACGCATACGTACCCCAGCCATGGTATCAGGCTTGGGGGGCGGCGAAACGCAAAAAATCAAATTCAGCGTTGGATTAAACCTCGGCTCGGTAAAAGGAACGAAACCGATATGTGTCGCTCACGCGTACGTCGTGCCGAAAATCACGACCTACCGCACACCGTCGGCGAACGCGCTTGTTTACACTGCGTTCCGAGGTTTACCGTTAGCCGATCCAGAACCCAGGGCCGATCCTACGATCGAAATTCTGATCGGAGCGGATGTATATGCTCAGGTGATTCGACCGGGCTTCCGACGAGGGGCGAATGAAGGTCCGATCGCCCAAGAAACGGCGTTTGGCTGGGTTATATCCGGCCCTATACACGCTGAAGGCGACGGCCAGAATACGGTAAGAACGCTGCATTGCACCGTTCTCGAATCGCTGGATTACGCGATTCGACGATTCTGGGAAACCGAAGAAATCCCCACGACCTCGGTGCGGTCCAAGGCGGAAGAAGAGTGCGAAGCACTCTTCCGAAGAACCGTCAAACGGGACAAAACCGGACGGTTTATAGTCCGATTGCCCTTGAATCACCCGAGACCGGACGAAGCGTTAGGACATTCGTTCCACATAGCGCTGTCCGCTCTCGCGAGGATGAAGCGTAAATTGGACGCGGATACGACCCTCGACAGAGAATACTCTGAGTTCCTCGCGGAGTACGAGTCCTTAGGTCACATGACTCGGCTTGAGCCGATTGACCAGAATCGACTGTACATTCCGCATCGAGCGGTCGTACGCACGGAAAGTGCAACGACCAAACTGCGCGTTGTGTTCAATGCAACCAGCAGAACGGTCGGAGGGCGATCCCTAAACGACGTCCTGCATGTCGGACCAAAATTACAGAACGATATCACCTCGGTTTTAACGAGGTGGCGTCTGTATGAGTACGTTCTGGTGGCAGATATCGAGAAGATGTTTCGACAAATCCTCGTCGCCCCACAGGACCGTCGTTTCCAATGCATCGTATGGCGCGCGTCAAACGACGAAAAGCTGAAAGCTTTCGAATTGAATACCGTAACATACGGTACGGCGTGCGCCCCATATTTAGCGATGCGTACCCTCCTCGAATTAAAGGAGCAGGATGGAGAGAGGTATCCTCTCGCTGCTCCGATCCTCGAGAGGGACATATACGTCGACGACGTATTTATGGGAGCGTCCAACAAAACCCTGCTAGAGAAAATTCGCAAGCAAGTCTGCGATCTCCTGCAGGGCGGTGGGTTCAAGTTGAGAAAATGGGCTGGAAACTCCGCGAAATTATTGCGGAACATCCCCCAAGGTGCTCACTCCCACGCCGTAGACCTCACTCTGTTCGACGATTCCGAACTAAAAGTGCTTGGTCTACGATGGATCCCATCCGGAGACTACTTCTATTTCGATCTGCAACGGTTTCAACCGTCTGCGTTACCGATGACAAAAAGAAATTTGTTCTCGGAGATCGCGAAGCTCTTCGATCCCCTCGGCTGGTTATCACCAGTCGTAATCCGTGCAAAAATTCTGATGCAGTCCCAATGGCTGGAGAAAATCCAGTGGGACGACCAAATTTCCACGGACACGCAAAAAACGTGGAACACGTTTTGCAGGGATTGGAGCAGTCTCAAAGAACTAAAATTCCCGAGATGGATCCAATACGGAGCAGACGCAGTTACTGTGGAACTACACGGATTCTGCGATGCATCACTCGCTGCCTATTCGGCCGTCACTTACTTACGTGTGACGACGAAAAATAATGACGTGTTTACGACATTAATCATGGCAAAGACACGAGTGGCTCCGATAAAAACACAGTCTATCCCCGTCCTGGAATTGAATGGGGCTGTGTTACTTTCCGAGCTCATAGTGCACGTGAAACGGTCATTCCCCATAGAAATGAGCCGCATAATCTGCTGGACAGATTCCACGATTGCACTCGCTTGGTTGAAAAAGCATGCGTCGACATGGAAGGTTGTGATAGCCAACCGTGTGTCAAAAATTCAGACCATGCTCCCAAAAGCTGAATGGCGGCACGTTCCCACGCGCTTCAACCCAGCGGATCTGAATTCGCGAGGTGTAGACGCCGCAGAACTCATTCAGTCCGAATTATGGATTTCCGGGCCGAAATGGCTTCGACAATCAGAGGAAAATTGGCCGAAATCGCCAGCCTCGCTCGAGACCGAGGAGGGTAAACGCGTATCGCATACCCTCGTGGCCACTCCGGAAAAGGAATGGAACTTAGTTTTCCGATTTTCCCAATGGAGCAAGCTACAACGTGTGACTGCCTATTGCCTCCGGTTCCGGAGGCCGGCGGTCGGAGAACGAAGGTCATTCGATGCAAAAGTTGTCGAAGCAGCGGAAATCCAGCGTGCAACGGAAAGAATTGCACGCTACTTACAGCGTACGCATTTCGCAGAAGAGTACCGGTGCTTGAAAAAGCGCAAGGGAATCCCTGCGACATCTCCTCTAAAGAGCCTAAACCCTTTTCTCGACGATAAGGAAGTCTTACGAGTGGGTGGAAGGTTGGAGAATGCGACGCTTGCATGGGAAACCAAACACCCGATTATCCTGCCGAAACATCATGTATCTAACATGATAATCAGGCAATGCCACGTGGATACGTTGCACGGGGGTTTACAATTGACCATGTACACGGTGAGACAGAAATTCTGGATCATCGGCTGCCGAAACGCGGCACGCACGGTTATCCACCAATGCATACGATGCGTGAGATGGCAAGCAAATACCTCCACGCAAATCATGCAGGATTTAATACCGGAGCGCAGTCGCGCGGCACGACCTTTCTCAAACTGCGGAGTCGACTACGCGGGACCGTATCGGGTCCGCGACTCCGCCGGTCGTGGGGAAAACGGCTCATAAAGCATACATAGCAGTGTTCATCTGCTTCGCTACGAGAGCCGTGCACATCGAACTCGTCCATGATTATACGACGAGTGCATTTCTGGCCGCATTAGACCGATTTATCGCCCGCCGAGGAGTTCCGTCCTGTATGTTCAGTGATAACGGAACGAACTTCGTCGGAGCAGATCGGGAATTGAAGGAACACTTCAATACGGTGTATCAAACTCCAGAAATGCGAACGAAGTGCGGTCAAAAGGGCATTAAGTGGAGGTTTAATCCACCCAGTGCTCCCCACTTTGGTGGTATGCAAGAAGCCGGCGTGAAATCGGTGAAACATCACCTGAAACGCATCATCGGCGAATTTACACCCACAAGCGAGGAAATGCAGACACTCCTCTGCAAGATCGAGGCGAGTTTGAATTCGCGACCGATCGCCGCTTTGAGTGACTGTCCCGAGGATTATGCCCCTCTCACGCCGGGCCACTTCCTAATAGGCGGACCGATGAATGCACTTCCGGTCGAGTCAGTGGAAAAGGAAAATCTCTCGCGGCTTACGCGATGGAGAGCAATCCAGAAATTCCACGAGCAGCTCTGGAAACATTGGACGCGAGATTATCTCACGCACCTCCAGAAACGCTATAAGTGGCGCACCACCCAAGTGCAGTTAAAACCGAATGACTTGGTTTTAGTGCAAAACCCTCTTCTCCCCCCCGAATCAATGGGAAATGGGACGAATCGAGGAAGTATTACCGGGCCGAGACAGGTGCGTGCGTGTAGTTAAAGTACGTACAGTTACGTCTACATACACACGTCCGATTACACGGTTGTGTAAACTGCCCGTCGATGAGTCAACATCGACAACGGCCGGCGAAGACGCACACGGGATAAACGAAGACCCGAATTCCGCTGTATCGAGACAAGGACAGTGAGAACAGCCGTTCAAAATCAAAACGGTATGAATTCTCACATATCCAACGTCTTTAGAATAATACAGTGAGAGGGGAGATATACCCTACCATCCCGGTAATTAATATGGAAGGGAGCGATTCGCGACATCCGCACGTAAAAGCAGGATCCGCAGGACGAATCGCCCAGTTTCACGACGGATTTCAAGTGAAAGTGAAAAAACAAAAAGTAAAAATGTCATCGAGCGGGGACGAAAGTCTGGTCACGGTGGTGGGGTCCCCACGGGACCAGGAGATCGACCGGCAATTCAACCGGATGGTGTTGCTGGCCGACGAACAACAGCCTGGCCCTTCGGGCATACAGGCCCAAACCGAGCAGCGGACACCGCGGAACCCGCCGCGACCGGAGGACGAGTCCGGGAGTCGGGCCCACAGCCCCTACTGATTGATTTGGGGCAGGACGTGCTGCGGGTGCCCCCGCACGTCCCCTGGACCACACGGCGGTATCGCCATAAGGTCCCAGGGGGCCATTACGCAATGAAGTGGGAAGGGGTGGCCGGCTACAAAAGCTGAATTTCCACCCGGCCGCGTCCACGGGCCCCGCACCAGCCCCGACCGCCCACGCAGGGGCGACGGCCGCACCACGCCGAGCTGCACCGCCGCCACCCGCCGTCGAGCAACGACCGGCGCGACGCGCCTCGCCGCCCGCGCAGTACGAGCGGCGGGATTCCGGCCGAAGGAGGCGGAACCGGGGGCCCGCTCGCCCCATAACGGCCAGCCGCCCCCGAAACCGGAGCCACCAACCCCAACAGCCGCACCGACGACCACGTCGCCGGGAACCGGACTCGGCCCTCGGGGAGGTACTCCTGACCACCCTCCGGCTGCTGGAGGACGAAAGGGCCCGGGCACGCCGCTGAGTAAGTACAATTAAACTTTTACAATAGAAAGTATTGAAAAGTGTTGAAAGTGTACTTCTACCTTCTCTACGGGCTTTACGCGACGTGACCGCGACCTACGCCTCCTATTCTTGTTGCACGGACCGTGCAAGGGGGGCGGTATGTTTAAATATCGCTTAAAATGCGAAATTTAATTTAAATCCGAAACAATTCGTTACCCGGTTTGTTTTCGGTTACGCGACCGACCAGGAAGATTCTAGGTCGACGCGTCCGCTATTCAAAATGTTAGAGGACAGAAAAACACGGTTCTCGAGGTTTTCTGCAAAGTCACGCGAACGATTAATTAACGTTCAATTTTGAAACAAGCGGTTCAAACGCCCGAGTTTAGAGAAGGTACGAAAATTCTATAATAGACAGAGACGGACGAGAGACACGGCGACAGCGCCGCGTGACGGAAGACTCTCCCCACTCACGCGCTCACTTTGGCAGCTCGTGCTCGTCCGTCACTCGCTATCAAACCACTGCCACGAGCACTTCGGTATCCGAACACGCTCAGCAGTCGAACAAACAAATAATTCGAGCAACCCGATCCGAGTCGAGTTCCTCGACTACCCTCGGAGTTGTGAAAGAAGTATTCACAAGTTAGCGTATCGAGCCAGTCGGTACCCGACCGAGCTCCGTAAAAAGACTTATAAATTCGGAATAGGCTTGAAGTAATTCGAGTGCTTCCGGGGAATCGATCCATAAACAGGTGTGGGAAGAAACCCTGAGTGGACTCAATCGTTTCCCCAGGGATAGAGGGCTAAGCTCATCCCAACTTATAGGTGCGAGGTTTTTCGCACCTTTCTTAGTGCACGACTCCATAATCCAGGTGTGGGAAGAAACCCTGAGTGGAATCATCGTGCACTAGAGGAACGAGATACAAAATTCGTCCTCCAATTGGCTGTCAGAAACGGCTTCGAACCCACCATACAGGAGTGAATAATACCCTGGGTGGATTTGCCGTCTTCCAGTCGAAGCGGGACACTTTTTTAAACCCCAGCTATCGGCGAAAGCTAGGACACGTTCAAACATCTCCAGGGAGTACGGTCCCTGTGCGTAGGACGGAGCATCCGACAAAGCAACGTGGTCTCAGGCACAACCGTAAGTCGACCTAAGGGCGCCGTTGACAAGCCTGCACCACACAGTGCCGTACGCACTTACGAAGGCGGTGAAGGGCCGGGGACCGGCTGAAAGGTTGGAGCCTTACAACCTCCCTCCGATCACCTTTTCCTGCGACAGTCATAAAACAAAGTCTTAAATTGCAGTCAGAAATTGCAGTCGTGACGAGCAGAAATCTCGTACACGACAATAATAAGCAAGCGATTCCCGATTTAACGGGAACGCTCACATATACAGTCCACTAGCTTAGCTGCGCATCGCGGCGGCTGAGATCCCCGCTCCTGGGTGCGACAAGCACAGACCAGACGAGCGCGGAAGAAAGTAAGACACACAGCGTGATTCACGTTCACAGGTATTTAACGCCTATTCGTGTCTCTTTCTGTTACAGGTTTACCAAACAGGATTAATTGCAGCGGCGTCTGGCCGGGCAAACCATTACGTAATTTTGTTGTCAAACCATATCACAATAAACGGCTTAGTCGAATCCTTCGACTAAGCGAAAATTAAAATTAAAATCTGTATTCTTTTCACGACGTTCCTTCCCTCACGATCCGGACCACCGTTAGGCGAGGTTTTTTCAAACCTACTCCCCCTAACACTAATGCAATGACGAAGTAAGTCAAATAATGTCAAAAGAGACGTTTTTAAAATGCAGGTCCAAAAACGTTTGCTCCTTAATAATTTAAAAGAACTATATTCATTTTTTAAAGATCGGAATCCAACAATGAAAATTGGATTCAGTAAATTTTCTTATCTTCGACCTGAAGAGTGTGTTAGCAGAAACCAATGGAACACATTCTATATGTGTATGTGTAATCCATCAAAATGTGAAATTACTGCTCTCTGACGCCAGACTGCAAAAATTACTTCCAGCACCTTCTGACTTTCTAGTAACATACAAGGAAATGTTATTAAATATGCGCTGTGAAGTGTCGAGTAAGTCTTGCAACCTAAATAAGTGCAAAAATTGTCCAGGATTTGGCCCTATCCGCAAAAAAACTGCAAAAAATATTCGAGCAACATTGTGTTGTATTCATTTCGTGCTGTCAGTGGACAAATAGTGACAGGTCCAATTTAGAAAATGTTGAATATACAGCAACACAGTTTGTAGATGAATTAGAAATCCGATTACCAAAGTTGGAAATTCACGATTTCAATGCAAGAAGTCAAAGCAGCTTTTTTAAATATTCTAAAGAAAATGTAGGACCTGATGAATTTGTTGTCGTCGGCGATTTTGCGGAAAATTATTCCTTCGTTATCCAAGACGAAATCCAAACTTATCATTGGTCCATCAAACAGGCGACAATACACACATTCATTGCATATTATCAGGTGGATAATTATCTAAACCATGAAAAGTTTGTAATTATTTCGGATTGTCTCCAACATGACAGGACTGCAGTCCATTTATACCAGAAGAATTTAGTGGAATTTTTTAAGGAAACACATGGCACAACTATCAAGAAAATCAAATATTTTTCTGACGGAGCATCATCACAGTACAAAAATAAATATAATTTATTAAATCTCAATTTCCATTTTGAAGACTTTGGAATCAACGCCGAATGGCATTACTTTGTGTTGGAGAAATAAGTTGGCAGCCATGTTGCGTTGGCAGGAGTGGCTGCACGCCGGTTGGGTTTTTTGGTGTGCGTGTGTGTAGCGCGCCTGACGGTCCGTCCGGGAACGTTACGAGTAATTCTTTTGGTGTGTAATTTCTAATTTCAATATGTATGGTCTTTATGTTTCATAATATACAGGGTGTTCGGCCACCTCTAGCAAAAATTTTAATGAGCGATAGTAGAGGCCAAAATAAGACGAAAATCAAGAATACTAGTTTGTTGATGGAAGCTTCGTTAAAAAGTTATTAACAATTAAATTCAAAAATTTCAAATCGTTCTGGAAAAATTATTTTCGGTTGCGGGGGTCAACTACAATCATTTTTGGTGAGTACACATACCTCCGAAATCCTATCTACTTTCGAGAAAAAAAATCGAGTAGGTGCTGAAATTTTTCGGCGAAAAAAAATTTTTCAAATCGTTTTAAAAAAATTATTTTCGGTTGCGGGGATCAATTACAACCATTTTTTATCATTACACATACCTCCGAAATCGTACGCACTTTCGAGAAAACAATTCCTTACTGAAAATCCAATTAGGTGCCTAAATTTTTCAATGGAGAAAAAAAATTGCAATCGTTGTGGAAAAATTATTTTCGGTTGCGGGGGTCAATTACAATCAGTTTTTGTCATTAGACATACCCACGAAATCCTGCCCACTTTCGAGAAAAAAAATAGAGAAGGTGTGAAATTATTCGAGAAAATTAAAAAATTGCAAATCGTTGTGGAAAAATTATTTTCGGTTGTAGGGTTCAATTACAGTCATTTTTGATGAATAGACATACCCCCGAAATCTTGCGCATTTTCGAGAAAAAAATTCAGTAAGAGCGGCACTTTAAACGTTAATAACTTTTTAACGAAGCTTCCATCAACAAATTGGTATTCTTGATTTTCGTCTTATTTTGGCCTCTACTATCGCTCATTAAAATTTTTGCTAGAGGTGGCCGAACACCCTGTATATCTTTCGTTGTATTTGTGTTTGTGTTTGATTACGCCCGAACCTCTACAACAATTGGTAGTAGAGCGTGGTTCGGCTTGAGTATAATTTTTTAAAAGTGAAAAGTGTTGTAGAGGTTAGGAAAGGCACATGGCGTAGAAGGGGGAAAAAAAAAGATTGGAACAATGGCTGAAGGAACAGGTATCTCGCTCAGTAAAATTGAGTTGTTAAATGGGAAGAATTACCACACATGGGCGTTAAAAGTGAAATCAGTGCTAAAAGCTCGTAAACTATTTCGAGAAGTAATTGAGAGCGATGAACCGCCGGAAGATGAAAACCCTGAATCCGTCGCTGGGAAACGAAGAGCCACGTGGCAAAGTAAAAACGACGAGGCGTTTGGAATAATTATTACGACATTAAGTGAAGACCAAGCAGGGTTATTTTTAACAGAAGAATCAGCAAGAAGGTTGTGGGAAGAATTAAAGAGAATACATGCGGAAAATACCATAGAGCTACGCATAGATATAGATTTAGAATTAAAGAATATAAAAATGAGTAATGGGGAATTGGTCAAGGATTACATAACAAGGGCTAAGAACATTGCGTCAAGAAGTGCCAGTATAGGGTATCCCATTGAGGATAGAGAAGTAACATACCACCTGGTAAGAGGACTGCATACAAAATATGAAAGAGTTGCGACAGTGCTTAGGGCTCAAAGATCACTAAAATTGGAAGAAATTCAACGTGCTTTGGAAGAAGAAGAATGTCGAATGGGTCGAGAAACAGAGGGACAAGCAGCTGGAAATAGTAGAGATGAGAAGGCATATAGGATG